CATCAACATCACCAAGGAGGAGAATTCAGACCTCATCTTCAAGCAGGAGGAGAAGCAGAAGAAGAAGGGCTTTGCGGGGAGAGGCACCTACGATGGCCCGTCCCGCCTGCCTGTGCACAGCATCATCGCCAGCATGGGTGAGTTGGTGGGGCTTCGGTGGGGCAGGGAGGCAGCGGGGCTCCCCGGGAGGGCAGGGTAGGATCCTGCACACGCCGTTCCGGCTCTCTCCCCAGGTTTGGTTTCATCTCCTTTCCTAGGTTTTGTTTTATTTTGCTTTTTTGCAAGCTCCTTGCCGTGCCCCCACCTGGGTGTTGCTGGGAGCCACTGAAAATCCCTTTCCATCCCTTGTCCCAGTCGCCTCACCAGTAAAATACACACTGCTCCTTGTACCCTGGGTGCTCTCAGGAAGCTCAAATATCATTATTAAAGCCTGTGATGTCCATTGTCATTAACAGCATTTGCATAAAACCCTCAAGCCCTGGCTGGAAGAATAAATGCTGTTGGCTGCATCCTAAATCACGTTTATGATTCACAGCCCAGTGAAGAGCATAGTTTGCTCTGCAGTGAGTGGTGCATTCTCGCAAATAAAAAATACCATGAGTCATTACTTCCAGCTTGTATCTGGGGAGAGCGAGTTTTGGGGAGGCTGCGCTACACGAGCAGATTATATTTCAGGCAAATAATTTATGCATTTGTACTCACAAGCAGCAATTTGCATAGATTATCCCCCAGCAAGCCGCAAAGCACTTTGCTGAAGAGCATTTGTCAGTGTTCTCGTTACGTGGCTTGTTCGCAGAGGGACCTTTGGCAAAGAGAAACGAGAGGGAGAGAAATCGCATGAGTGCAAGCAGGGCAGTGGTGCCCAGCGAGCCCAGCACCAGGGCTTTGTGAGCCGGGAAACTCCCCGCGTTCCTGACCGTCTAAAAGTCACTGTTTGGCCAAGACTCAGATGAGAGCCTCAGCAGGAGGTGGCCACAGCTGGGGGACAGGGAGAGTGCCGCTCCCCGGGGCCAGCAGCCCGCACCCACCGTGGGAGCAGCTGAGTTGTGCCTCGGGGAGCGGAGGTCGCCGGTGGGTGCTTTGCCTGCACTCCCCGTGCCCGTGAATGGTTTAGCTTCATCTGGGTTGTATTTAACAGGCACGATGCACGGCCCCGCCTGCTCCACCTCGTCCCCGTGCAGGGCTCAAGGGCACGGTGCTTTGCTGACGCAACTCTCTTCACCTCCTTATAGCGTGTTTGCTGTGCTTCCTTCCCCACCGTGTCCAGGTACAGTAGCCATGGACCTGCAAAACACGGAGTGCCGCCCCGCTAACAGCAGCAAGCTGGCACTGCCGGCGGAGAACGGCTCGGGCAACCGCCGGCCCAGCATCGCACCCGTCCTCGAGCTGGCCGACACCTCGTCCTTGCTGCCCTGCGACCTGCTCAGCGACCAGTCGGAAGACGAGATGACGCAGTCGGATGAGGAGGGCTCGGCGGTTGTGGAGTGAGTCGCCCACCTTCGGTCAAGCCGTCCCTCATATGGGAGAGACGGGGACCGTTGTAAATGACAGGCGTTCAACGGTGCCTGAGGGATGCTCAGGCTGAGCCCCTCTTGGCTTTTTCTGAGCGCACCAACATCTGTAACACGGGCAATCGCCGCTTGGCCGTTAGCCTTTTGGGCTGCTTTGGAGAAGTCTCCTCTGGGTATCAGAGAAGTTGGACCGAGCTAGACGCTGCTGGGGACGGGCAGGGTTGTTCTGTCAGTCCTCTCGCCTCCCTTCACTCACCAACATGAAGGGGATCCTATTCTCTATTGCACATAAATAAAAAATAATACAAAATAAATATTTCCTGCAGCTTTAAAGCTGTTAAATTTATGACAGCCAGATAAGCACTGGCTTTACTGGTTGCCTGTTTGGATGCTGTCACAGCAATGTGGGGAGCTTACTAAGTATCTGCAAACTCTTACCAATTGGCTTTTAATTCATGTCCACTTTTAGCTGCTCTTTAAATGAAATTTCTGCTTCTGGTTCCATCAAAAACACAAATGGTAATTTTTTAAATATCTGTTCACCAAAACACACTCTAAAAATGGACCATGAGGTTTTTTTGCCTCTTTATATGGCTCAGCATCGCCCTCCTCTCCTGGAACTCGCTACCCTGTGTCCGTTCAACTGCGCTTGATGGTCCTATCTGCTGCCTTCTCCACCCGTGCTTGGAACATTGCCTTTTCGCGATCTCATGACCCTTTGCATAGCAAAAATTATTCCTAAATATGTGTATTTTGAAAAATTTCCAGCTGCTGCGGGAGAGTTTTGCAAAGCGTTTGCCAGTGATGTGCTTGACCCTGGGTCTGCTGCTTTTAAATGTTTTTCCCAACGTCTGGGAGTTGTCTAGGTGGAAAGCTCTCCCCACGTCCTCACACTGCTTGATTTTCTCTCTGCTGCAGGTACGTGAAGGGCTACCCACCGAACTCCCCCTACATTGGCAGCTCCCCGACTCTGTGCCACCTTTTACCCGAGAAAGCCCCTTTCTGCTGCCTGAGGCTGGACAAGGTACGATGGGGCTGCAGGCGGCTGCTCGGGGGCCGCCGCCCCCCCCGGAGCGGGACCGCGGGGGGGGGGGGGGGAGCCGGAGCGGGACGGCGGGGGGGCGGTGGCCAGCCGCCCGCTGAGTCCCCGTGCTGCCTTCCACTGCACAGGGCTGCAAGCACAACAGCTTTGAAGATGCCAAAGCCTATGGGTTTAAGAACAAACTGATTATCGTTTCGGCTGAGACGGCTGGGAACGGACTGTATAACTTCATCGTCCCCCTTCGTGCGTACTATCGGTCCCGCAAAGAGTTGAACCCAATTGTGTTGCTGCTGGACAACAAGCAAGTACTTTTCCACAGACGTTTTCCATCGCGCTGAGCCCTCCCCTGTGTTTTCATGAGCATCTCATACTGTGGGGATGGGAGCGTGGGGGAATGGCAGTGCAACCGTTGGGTACCTTGGCTGACGCTGGCCCTGGGGACTCCTGTGTGGGTTTTGTGTCTGTCCTTTCCCCATGGACTTGCTGAACCACCTTGCTCTCTGCTGCTCTTCCTCCAGGCCCGAGCACCACTTTCTGGAAGCCATCTGTTGTTTCCCCATGGTTTACTACATGGAGGGCACGATCGACAAGTAGGTGTTTCCACATGTGGCTGTTGTTACTTATGGTGATGCCTAAATGTGTTGCATTTGCCCCAGCCCAGACTTTTGGGTCATCCCATGAGAAGCCCCAGGGTTGGTACCGTAGAGCTGAGCCCACCCTTGGCTTCTCGGGTTGTCGACCTCCCCCCCCGGTAGGTAGGAGCAGGTGAAGAGCTGGTGGTTGGGAGCAGCCTGGGCTTGCTGTAGCGCTGCGCGTCGCAGCGTGCTGCTTCCCTGTGTCGTTTCCAAGGGCTGACCCTGCGCTCTTCTCTTTGGGGACTGCCCAGCCTGGACAGCTTGCTGCAGTGCGGCATAATCTACGCCGACAACCTGGTGGTTGTGGACAAGGAGAGCACGATGAGCGCCGAGGAGGACTACATGGCGGATGCAAAGACGATTGTCAACGTCCAGACCATGTTCAGGTGAGGGGTGACCGCTACCCCGGCTCCGTCACGGCCACTTACCTCTGCTGGAGACAAGACTGGGAAGGGTGCCGGTGACTGGGGTGGTGGCTGCGGGCAGCGGGACACATCTGCAGTTGGGCTCACTCTAGGAAATGGCGTCTAATCAGCTATTTCTGACCTCAGACAGGCACAGGGATGGGTTTGGTCTTCCTCAGGTTTAAATGCGGGGAGTCCTCTCACTCCTGAGTGAGCTGTAGGACAACAGGTCTCTTTCCATTGCAGGCTCTTCCCCAGCCTCAGCATTATCACAGAGCTGACCCACCCCTCCAACATGAGGTTCATGCAGTTCAGAGCAAAGGACAGTTACTCTCTTGCCCTTTCCAAGCTAGAAAAGGTAAGAGAAGGTCTTCCCTTGGGAAGTCAATGCTGAGAGTGACTACATTTGAGCTCCTCAAGGTCCTGTGCTCTTCTGCACGCTGCAGCTACTGTAGTTAGTGCGCATCTACCCGAGACAACCTGCAGCAAACAAATATGCGGGCAGTTGATCTTTGGACTAAGTACCTCCTTCTATGTACTTATGTATTTGTGCGGTGGCTGGAGTTTGTGCTGCTTTGCCTACTGCTGTGCTGGGCACGCTGGACCTCTGAGTCAGGTTTCAGAGGGGTAAGGGGGGCAGTGGGGGTCACCGTGCTGAGACAGATCTTTTGACAAGGAAGAAAATATGCCTGAACCAGACACTGGGGCATGTGAGAGCGCCCTGCAAGGATGTGAACAAGACCCCACGGGCGCTGACACGTCCCCTTCTTCTTCCAGAAAGAGCGAGAGAACGGCTCCAACCTGGCCTTCATGTTCCGGCTGCCCTTTGCGGCCGGGAGGGTCTTCAGCATCAGCATGCTGGACACTCTGCTCTACCAGGTGAGAGCCCATGGGGGGGGGCCGCGGGGAGCACCCCATGTGGCCGCAGCTGCTGGCACAGGCTGGAGCACCCGGAGGGGGTGTCCCCGGCAGGCTCTGGGTAATGCACCGCTGCCGGCGCAGCCGCCCCTTTGGTTCTCCCAGTGAATAACTGCGCAAACCTTTTCTCCGGCTTCCTGCCGAAATGTCTCCCCCCAGTCGTTCGTGAAGGACTACATGATCACCATCACTCGGCTGCTGCTGGGTCTCGACACCACACCGGGCTCCGGCTACCTCTGTGCGGTAGGTGCCAAGTCAACTGCGGGTTGAAACCATCGGGCCAAGTCATCGTGGATCTGGTGGGATCTGTCACCCTGTGCTTGGGGGTGGAGGGTTCCCCTCTTCTGGGGAATTGGAGGGGAAGCAACATGGGGCAGAACATGCCAGGTCATCGCTCCCCTGCATTGTGTGTGGGGAACCTCAGCGCTACCAAGAGCCTAAAAGCCCAAGAGCTACCAAGGACCAGAGTCCCCATTCTGAAGGCTGGGGTCGGAAATTGCCCCTGGTCTTTTTGTGGAATCCAGCTCACTTTTGGGACTGACATGGCTGAGCTGGGGGAAGCTCAGGAGCAGCCCTGAGGTGCCCCTCAGCGGGCTCTGCACGGCACAGGGTGGTTGATGTTTGTCCTCATCTGTTTCTCAGATGAAGATCACTGAAGACGACCTGTGGATCCGGACGTACGGCCGCCTCTTCCAGAAGCTCTGCTCCTCCAGCGCAGAGATTCCCATCGGGATTTACAGGACGGAGTCACACATGTTCGCAACCTCCGAGGTAGGGGCACGGCGGTGGCGTATGCCAGGAAGGGGCTGCTGCTGGTCCCAGCTGAGCATCACCGCCCAGCAGAGATGCGGTCTGTGAGGCTGGCCGGGTCCATGAGGCCCCTCGGACCTGGTTGCAGCAGCGGTGGTTGGAGTGAGGGGAGGGGAAGCTCTGTCTTGGCTTCATTAGCGGCCCTACGTCTGCGTTATGGTGGTGGTGTCGTGGTTCCCCGGCCGGGTAGGCTGGCTCGGTGTAAATGCCCGGAGCAGCCTGGCTGCGGGCAGGCGGTGTGATTTTCTCGGCACAGCTCTGCGGTGTTGCATGGCACCGAGTCCCCGGGGAGCGGGGGGGCTGCGGCACAGCAGGGCTGCCCGTTTGCTGGGCTGACACTTTGTTTTTCCTTCCTTTTCCCCCCGCTGTAGCCCCACGACATCAGAACGCAGGTGAGTGCCGCGCCGCTCGCATCCAGCCGCCGGGCGCTCGGGCGGTGTCGGGCATTACCCTGGCTGTCAGCGGCTGGCTCCTCGGCTCCCCCGC